AGACAGACAGACAGACAGACAGACAGACAGACAGACAGACAGACAGACAGACAGACCGATTTAAGTTGCATGAGTTACTAAATCTTACACTGAAATAAATACTTTTTTCTATTGATTTGGTTTTTTTTTTTACATTTAATAAAAACACAATAGATATTTAATAATTAGACATGTTTAAAATATGATTATATTAAGTGCAATCGGCCCCACTGTGACCCTGACGGAGTAAGCCTCTGCAGTCATCTGTTGCACAGAGGGACACTGGTGTTCAGTTAGGTAGTAAAGTATCCAAAACACTTTTATAAAACATAGAAGTAGCCCAGATACACTGTTTTGGGGAGTGGCATAAAAAGCAATAATTAAAATGCTAAAAACGCAGAGTAATTAGTGAAATACAATATAGAAATCTGCAACACACTGGTTAATTTTAGGCAAAAGTTAATCAGACTTGAGGAAAGTGCAAAACTTTATTAGGCTATTTAAGAAAATGCACCACAGTCCCTAACTTGTGGGACCATCAGAGTCAAAAACTAGACTCTTTCAATGCATCTAATTTATTACTGGATGTGAGTGGGGGAGGAGGAGTGGGTGAGCTGTCAGATAATATGTTCCGCGAATTGATTTCGATGGGAGGGGTTTGTTGCCTCAGGGGAGTAAGTGAACGCAAACACCTTCAGCATCTTTTCAAGCTGCGCTTTCATGTGGAGCCGCAGCTATTCGACGTTTGCCCCCCCTCCAACTCCAACTCCTAATATTAGAGTTTCAAGGCAAAGATGAGGGCGGCAATAATGTGAACTCCTGCACAGTCCTCGGACACCCCGAAAGCTGAAGAAACAAGGTATGAGTTACTGGTTCTTTCTTGCAACATGTGATTGGTTTCATTTGGATGTGCGGACAACTTTGACTTGTCTTAGTTTAGACCTATATGCAGGGGTGTCTTAAAAATATCTGAACAGTTAGAAAATATTTATACTAACTTGTATTTTTTCTATATATATATATATATATATATGCAAACTAATTCCAGTTTTGATCATTTCAGAAAAGTGATGTTCATGATGTTTTCTTTACGTTCTATCTTTCATTTCGGACATCATTAAAACTATAACTGGATATTTATTAGTCTCTTCAACTATATTTGTGAAGTGTCAATTGAGACAATGGTAATTATTTTTTAATATATGTTGTTATAACATTTTTAACCTATTTTACAGCCCAATTATTTATACGTATGTTTACAATTAAAAGAATAAAGATCTTAACAAGTTAAGAACTTTGAAAATATTCTGGCTGCTTTGAAATATTTGTTGACAATATTTTAAGATAAATATTCTTGTACATTCTATCAATCCTTTTTGAACTTTTCAATTAATACAACCATTATGAGATAATTTGTTTTTGAGGAACTTTCTATAAGACATTTTTGGTTAAATGTACTGTTCTAAACTTAATTTGACTTAAATTACAATTTATTTTCCGGAATTCTTCAGTTTTATTTATGTAACTATAGTTTAGTTGAATACATTAACGTGAAGAAAAGAAAAATTCCCATCAAACACCAGACGTGATTTAGACGTTGTTGTTTTTTTAGGCTTAATCTGGTCTGTCCGTCTTGATTTAGTCAAAACATTTCTGTTGAAAATTGTTTGGTCTGATTTTGTCCCACTTTTTTCCAATAATAGACATTGAAAAAACGTTGCAGAACCAGTTTACAGTCCTTTCAACGATCTGAAAATTATGGATTTTCATCTTTCACTTACTCATGTCGTCTTTACAATGTATTTTCAACCATTTTTTGCTTGGTGAGTTGTGCTTTTTTATTTATATGTGTATTAAAAGAATAAAAAAAAAAGTTTTTTAAGGAACGTATTTCTTTCGGTGTGTCCCTTTCACTAAAAAGCCTAAAACATAAATTTTTTTGTCTAACCTGCCAGTCTCTTTAGGAATGAATGATGGGCATTGAGTGTATGAGTTGCATGCCTCGTTGCGGTGGTGAGCGATGCGACGCGGCTGCAATTCAAGGACATTCAGCAAATTGCATTAAGCTGCAAACCGATGAAGAATGGAGGATCGTTGAGTAATTTCCAGACGGTGACCATGCATTTCTTAGTGGGACCTAATTTTATTTTTTTCCCGTTTTTTCTTTTTTACTTCCCACCCCTTTCCACTTTAAATGTCATTCCATATTTTAAAGCAGGGGCCGAACTCTCTCAAACACGGGGTTCTTGTTTGCCCTGAACGGAAGAAACCGCCATCATGTCAGCACTGCAGAAACAAGCAACGAGAGGCCAAGTATGAACATTTGATACCCCTTTCAGTTTAAAATGTTTTTTCTCCATGTTTTCATAAACTTTAGACATTAAACAGCATTCCAGGGATTCAAGCTGAGAAGTAATTCAGCACCGCGGATAGCGCATAAACCAGCAGGGACAAAAATCGACCACTAGGGGTGTACAGTACATTATTAAATTATTCACTTTTCAAATTTCATATTTGTATGTAAACAATGGCTTGAAATGTCCCATAATATCTCCATAAACGGGTTTGTTTTGTTAACTGCATTCTTATATCATTGCTTCCTTTAAATTATGGAATTTGGACCCTGATTTGGCTACAGTGCCTTATCAATATTTACCCATTGGCTTATGAACAGTATGCAAAGTATACAATATCAGAGAGAAAGAATAGATTTCCACTCATTAAACCCATGTGGTGTGGCACATTATTCTCAACTAAGCCTGGAGGCCATTAAGATGAAATATTAACTTAGAAACCAATGATAACAGATTGCTAAAAAAAAAAACAACAACAACATCTTTACATTAAAAAAAATAGATAAACCCTGCAGAAGTAGGTGTAGTGTTTGTTTTTCCCGAATCATAGGCATGAATTTCCTGTTATTTCTAGGTATTTAATTATGGACTTGATACATATTTGTTTCACAGTGGACTGGTAATAATTACATGGCTTCTGAAATCTGAATTATTTTTGGACATTGATTTATTGCATTTTCCATGCAATCAGAATTTTACAAAATACAATTTCAAATCACATAGACACGCAGTTTTGGTCACAATGAATTTGACAGGTATAAGGAACAAAATTTCTTACAGCATGCCTTTACGGGGTGGTAATACATTTAAAGTGGGTTTGCTGCCATGCAGAAGAGCTGATGTTTCAGGTAGTATACTTTTCCATGCATTTAAGTAGATGTAGGCACTTTCCCAATTAATAGTAGTCCAGATAATGGATTCTGGACAAGCATGCTTTCAAGGTCATTAAAAACAATGAAACATTTACATGCTTGTGGTTAGTGCTAAGAGCAATCAAAATAAATTTACAATTACGATTTTGGTTGAAATAAAATTATCTAATTTTTAAACTGTTTGTTTGACTCACATGCAGGAACACTTCCAAGGGATAGATAAAGTTTAACAGTTTATTGAACAGACAAAAACAAGTCCAGAGGAGGGGACCAGGGAACCAACCATATATCGGGGCTTTAAAGAAGAAGACACAGGAAAAGACGAGTAATTACAACAAAGTAATAGAAAACAGGTTTTGATCCAGAAAGGTTACTTTAGCTGAACGGAGATTGTTGCCTGGACTCCTGTGAGGCACTAGTAATTGAGGAGGATAAGAGCACGAACCAGGTTCAGTGGCAGATACAGAAAGCATGGTGGAGAATGGATGGTGTGCAACCAAATACCGTACTAGTGGGGAGTGTTAAGAAGATCAGAGCTGCCAGTCAGGATCAGATCTGGAACTTTCTGAGTTTTGTGGGTTTTGATTTCAAGCTTGCAATGGGTGACAGAGATTAAAGGTCAACTCAGCTGTAGTACAAGCGAGAAGATCTCCCTGGTGTCCACTATTGGTGGACCGCTCTTACGGGAAACTAGGCAGTTAGCAATAAAATGCTCAGGAGGTCAAAAGTGCATGCAAATCTTATCCTCTCTGGGTCCTTGTCATTCTTCCGGAGTTAACCAGGTACGACCAACCTGCTTAGGCTCGGGCTCCACAGCTACAGCTGACTGTGTAATGGGTTTCAACATCAGTGGGATTTTCCCTTCTGTGCTTCCTTTGTTCATTTAGTCTAATATCAATTCTTGTGGCTAAAGCAATTACCTTGTTTTTCCTCTTGAGTTCTTCTTGAGTGGCCAGTTCATCCTTGAGCTTCTCATTCATGGACTTAAAGAACACTGCTTTAATGGCCAGTGAATCCCAGCCAGAGGCGTCTGCATAAGTGCGAAACGCACTGGAGTTCTTTGGGTACAGAACGAGTTCCCTGTTAAATACACCAACGTTTATGGTACAAACTAGTCTGTTCAAAATCTTTTGAACGGGTTGGTTTGAACACTTCTAAAAATTCCTTAAAGTTGTTTCCAATTTATTTGGATTATCAAATCTGGCTTCAGCATATCTTAACGCTTTACCTGGGATTATCCTTAGAGTATATGAAATCTTCACAAGGATACACTTGTGGGGGGCAGTTAAATACCAGAAAGCATTCTAACTTCCGCTGCCGGTTTCTCCAGAAAATTGCTCTTGGTTGGGTGAGCTGATGTCTTGGGGGGCGATGATTTTGTGGGTCACAGGTGGTACCGAAGAAACCATCTGAAGGACAGGAAGGCTGGTTACGTTGCATGATTGTAAGCTCATATCTTGGTTCAGATGTTAATTTGTGGAATATTGCTGGTCATATAGCTTTCATTGTATCTTTTAACGAGACTTAATGGATTGTGAATGTTCAGCAATTCAGGGATCAGACTCAGCTAGAGTACCAGCCAGAAGTGCTCCCTGGTATCACATAATGAGCAAAACAGGAACACCACAACACACACTCCCAGAACCACAAAAAATACAGTTTAGATTTCTGGCAAAAGTCACGAAAAATTATGCACACACTACAGGCTCAAACATATACAAACACAAGCACAAGCAAGAAGATGTGTGATGGTAGATGTCTGCGCAAATATGTTTACTGTGACCACTACCGAACATAATTTTTTTCTGTATATTTGATCCTTCTTTCCTTTAAATAACCCCTGTAAAGCGAATTCACTCAAGCTATAATTGACCAAATTATATAGAACACCAGTGTCCACAGTCAAGCCATTTTTATATCAACCAAGACGAAGACAATACCAACAAAGACAGAATTATTTCCTCCAAAAGAAAACTACTTTAAATTTGTAGATGTCTGATCACATCAAAAAGCAGTGTCTCATCTGGATGACATACTGCTCCTTTTGAGTGTTTTTTTTTTTTTTTTTCCAATGAAGGAGATTTAAAGGACTCCTAACCAAATGCACTTACTCTATTTGAAACTGAATACACGACTTTCCTCCATCCATCCATCTTCTCACGCCTATTCCGTCAGGGTGGTGGTGGGGTCGGGGCTTACCTCTGGCAGTCTATAGGCAAGAAGTGAGGTACACACTGGACAGGTTGCCAGTCTGATGCAGCTTAAATAACTTTAAAAGATAAATTAGTTGAATTTAAAAAGGACATCCAATTCAAGGCCAAACAAGAATAGTTTGAATCAATCTATAAAAGTAAGGAATCCAGAAGATAATCATGCTTTTGGTTGTATTATGATTGATTGTTTTATGTCTCTAATATGTTTCTATATCAGGTTTTGCCAAAGATCCCTGTGCCCCCACTCAAACAAACCCTTGACACCTACCTGAAATGTGTCCAACATCTTGTGAAAGAAGAGCAGTTTAAGAAGACTAAGACCATCGTAGAAAAGTTTGGGGCTCAGGGAGGGGTCGGAGAGATTCTTCAGAATAAACTTTTGGAGCGGAGGGACAAGACATCCAACTGGGTAAAGATTAAAAGAACATTCTTTCAAGTACTAGGTTTAAAACTCACCAAATTAAGTTATTTTATTCTGCATCAGTAAAGCCTCTTGGATATATATCATATATATATATATATATATATATATATATATATATATATATATATATATATATATAATTATTTATATTTCTTCTTTCTATTTTTAAAAAATTTTTAATTTTCAAAAGTAAGTTCAGTCTCTAAAAAGGATTCATAGAACAATTGTTTAACTTTTGCCACCTCATTTCTCCCTTATGTGTCTGAGTAAGTGGTCCTGCTCAATGAAATCCATCACACTCCCACTCCTCTTTTTATCTGATGGATGATACACTGAAGTGTTTTTCTTTACTTCACTGCCCATTGCTGTTATAGCTGAAATCAATATTTTTATTTTTTTTTTTAAAGAGCAACATCTCTAACAAAGTGTCTCTCTTTTCCATACAGGTCTATGATTACTGGCTGGAGGACATGTACTTGAACAACAGGTTGGCCTTGCCTGTTAACTCCAGTCCTGCCATGGTGTTCCAGACACAAAATTTCAGAGACCACAAAGATGCTCTCAGGTACATGCTACTCTTTTTTTTTATTTTGCTTGTAGACAGGATGAAGCACCACAAAGCCAAATTAAACAGTATTAGAAGCAACTACAGCAGGGAAAATAGGGAAACAAAAAAAGATTCCCCAGAAACCTTTTTATGTTAAACAAAACAAGTGAAAAAAGATGAATATTACATACCTCCCAGTAAAATCTGTAGACATTTCTGCGGCTTTGAATTGGGATATAAAACTAATGTCTGGGTCTAATTGGTAAACTGGTCCATGGTACTTCAACTTGTCCAATCAGACTTACAAAATAAACAATCATTTAAGCTATTTAATTTGCATTTCTTTATTCACAACTCTCCCTTTGGACTTTTTCACATATTTTCATATTGCAACCAAACACAATTTTTTTCTCGGGACATTCTGTGATTTGCAAACAAGATAGTGCATCATCTTAAATTAGAAGTCACAACATAGATTGTTTTCACCCCCTTTACACAAGAACTGCTGAGTAATTTTACCTCAGTATTAATAAAATACAGCTGCAGTGTAAATTCTTCCATTGTTTGTTAAGCCTGGCATACACTGGACGATTTTTTTGCCCTTTTTGGGCCGATACTCCAGTCATGCAAGGATTTTTATTCGGGCCGAGTTTCAGGCTCCTCGTGCGTCCTGCATCATGTAGTATACAGGTGGTAACAAGGGGCGATTAGCCTCTCACAAATACTTCTCAATCAGAAATTGTTAGGTCGGGAGAAAATCAAACATGTTTAAAATTCATTCGGCTGGGCATCCTTTGGTGGGGCAGTAGTTAGCGCACATTACCCAAGAACCAAGGCCTCCTTGAGTCGATTTACCAGAACCTTGAGCACTGCATGTGCAAACAAGGGAGTTCTTCTTCGACTGGATAATCGTCCCAAAAGGGGCAAAAAAAATCATTGTACAGTGTATGCCCGGCTTGAGCAGGTAGATCCCATCAGAGCGTTGGCTTGCACAGTGTGAGAACATGCATCGTGAGCTGTGAACTTTTAAACGCTGCGGTTTCGTTGGACAGTTTGAGCTGTAGCTGCGTGCAACAATTGAAAATATCGCACAATGTATGCCCAGCTTAAGATAATTTCCCAACCGTAAATCAACTAAAGTGTGCTAAGTAAGATAATGATTTTTTTCAAAGCATGGTCAGGTGTTAAAATGATCCAAAGTTCAAATCTAAAACATATTGACTATCTGTGTCTTGACTTAAAATTTGATTTTCACATCTCCCTTTTCCCATCTGAATAAATGATGGTTTGTTTTTGTTGTTGACACCTAGTACTCTTTAGAAAAAGTATAAAAATTTACAAAGGAAAGTCAAAAGGAAATATATTGCAACACGCTTCACAGGAAAATTAAATTGTAGCATTTGTTATGCTTTAGAAATAAACATCAATCTTGTCAGTTTCTGGCTGCTGTGATGGTAAATTTCACATTTACTAGCAACAGTATTAAAAGATACATACATGTTGTGCTCTTCAGCTTTCTGTTTATTTCAGTGGGCTGATATGCTTTGATTAAGATCTGAATTAAAGTCATTAAATGAACCCTGCTTTACCAGGCATAAGAGATGCTTCCAGATCTATGACCCAACATTAGCGTTTGTCAGCTCCTTATCCACTATTTGAATATTTCCAGAACACCCACACACAAAAACAAAATCTGGATACCTTCTGACGTGGTCACTCATTAGATCGGGAGTGACAGGGCCAAGTTCTCCACTGAGACCGCCACTCAGGCCTCATTCAGAGGGTGTGGTGTGCTGCATCTGCCTTCTCTGTATTGATTTGGCTTTGAACCGTAATAACACAGAGACAAATGACATACAGCATGAAACCTGACAGGTTTCCCTGGTCACACACACAGAAAGATGCACACACTGTATCCGAGTAATTTACCATGATTTGATTACTGTTAGCCTTTTGAGAGATGGGACTATATTGAATTATACTCACAAACCAATCCTCTTTGTGGCTTCAATGTTTTACACTGAAAATTCAAAGCCTTTTAAAAATGTCATCTGTTTCTGCTCCCCTAAGATTTGCTGCTCGTCTCATCCTTGGAGTTTTAGAGTATAAGGCTCTCATTGATGCGTAAGTCCTGTCTGTAAATCATCACCTACCACACTGTCATTCTTTCAGATTTTTTCCTGAAAACATTTACCTTAACAAAGAGCCAGAGGTCTGACTAAAATATCTGTGATGATATGTTTAAGGAGAACGCTACCTTTGGATTTTGCTCGAGGCCAGTTAGCAGGGACTCCTCTGTGCATGGAGCAGTACTACCGCCTCTTCACATCCTACCGCTATCCAGGGCTGAAGACAGACACGCTGAAGGTTGACATTAATGCAGCCTCTTCAGCGCCAGAACACATGATCATTGCATGCAAAAACCAGGTCAGTTAAATGGCTGTTAATAAGGCTTTTTACACTAGTTTACATTCATAACTGATATAATGTCATATTTATTATAAAATAAACAATAAGTGCTTGTAAGACCACTTTGATATTACAGTTAGCTTACTTTTGAAATAGAAGTGTGGGTATACCACTAAAATATATTTTTTGTTATGTGAAGTTTGTATACCTGTTGAATTAAAGCAACAGGCCAGGTCAGTTTTTCTACTTTCTGGTCCTCAAGTAAAGCTATTTTGTGCGTTCAAGGTTCTCCTTGCTGTCACCCACCTGACTTATATTAATGATTGATTAACAGGCTTCTGCAGCAATTGATGGCTGCTGAGGAGGTCATGCAATCATTTGAATCAGGGGTGCTGCATGGAGATAATTAAATCGTGATTGAATAATATTGGGGACCAATATATATATATATATATGTATATATATATATATATATATATATATATATATATATATTATTTATGCAGCAAACACATACTGTAAGTATTCTTTATTGATGTTGTTATGAGTACTAAAAGAATCAAACATTATAGGCATTATATATAGGCTCTGAGGTGTGGTCGTAGAGCAGGGGTTAAGGGCTTCGGTCTATGTATGGAGGCCTTGGTCCTTGACCACGCTGTTCAAATCCCAGACCTCTTGACGTCTTCCCTTTCTCTCCCTCCATCCCATTTCCTGTTTTCCTTCTTTCAAAAATTATGAATTAAAAGTCAAAATAAAAGAACAGGAGGCTCCAATCAATTGTGGAATTTACAAGTGAGGTGAAGCACTGTGGCTTTCCTCTATGAACCAGTTTTCAAGCGTGTTGGTGCAGACCCATGGTGTTGGTGCTGGTAAAGAACAGGGTTTGCTATTATTGCAGCACACATTTTGGGTTATGATATAAATTGTGACAGAAATAATATTATCTTTGACACCCAAATGTTTTGGTGAGGAGCCTTATGATCAGGGTCTAAGTTGGATTATAGCAGCTGTTTAAATGTGTCAGTTTAAGTGGTCTGGGCATCCATAAAAGTGCTTCCAATGCAGTTTATTAAAAGTGTTCCATTAGTTAAGACCAAGCCTCCACTCCTGTAGGTACATTTTAAGAGTTTCCATTAATGAACAATTGCTGTCTTAACTTCTTCTTTAGAGAACCGGTTATTGTTGCTTCTTTGTATTTTCCAAACAAATATTTTAACGTACAGCAGGGGTCTGCAACCTTTACAACCCAAATACCTATTTTTGACTTCAGCCTGGCTAATAAAACTAGTTCAGAGGCGCCAACATTACAAGACCTTTAAAAAAAACATAACTTATGATGATACATTTTTACCATGGGAGGTTTGTCCTTTTTAAATAACATTCCAATTTTAGGTTTCAAGATGAAGGAAAACATTTGAGAAAACAGAATACATGCACATTCAATGGTTTGCTGAAATTTGTGGATAACCATGTTATGAAAACAATTAAACTTTTGCGCTACTTATAAAATATTGAAAATTATACTTCTGTAATTTTTAAACTCACTTTATTTAGAAAATTCAATGTGATTAGTCATTAGAGAAAATGCTATAACATGCATTTGTTAGTATATCTACATTTTAAAAAGAAGCTGGCTCTTTATATTTTTTTTATCTAAAGTGATTGAGAGCTATTTTCTAAAGACCCACTAGTGTCTCCAGAGCGACAGGTAGCAGGCCCCTGGTCTACAGTATGATGACTGCCAGTTCTTTTTTATTTTTATTGAAACACCTTTTTGATCAAACTTTTAACTCTCAAAAATTACTGTGGCTTGGAATTGATTATCATACATTTTGTCACAGAAAAATGCAACAGCAATACAGAATGTATTTATTGTATTGCTGAACATTTCTAATGCTGACCCAACTTATCATCTGCTCTTCAGCAGCACTTTGATTAGCTGTTCTTCCATTTCCTCAACATGCTAAATATAACTTTTTTATGACCTTTCAGCTTATCGATACTTTTACTATCTGCTGTGATATCACAGAAGCCAGTGCTGATAGCTACATGTTAAATGTCCAAGTTACAAACACATAAGCTTTCATGAAACTGTTTTGTTACGGGTAGTTGTTACAGGGTCCATTTGAATAGTTGTTAGACTGTGTAGTAGTGGCCTGGCTGACAAGGAAGTACCAATTAAAATATGTCTTAACCGATGTATTTCAATTCATGATGATTGTGATCGAACTTTTGAGCTAGAAAGCAAAGTTTCTCTGAGTCTTCATATGGATGGATGGATGGATGGATGGATGGATGGATGGATGGATGGATGGATGGATGGATGGATGGATGGATGGATGGATGGATGGATGGATGGATGGATGGATTAGTAAGTAATGTAATACAGTGTTAAATTAATTGGTATTCCTAGTATTTTGTCAGCTCATGTCATACGCATTCATTTTAGTTAAGGTATCTGAACTGAGAGATATTTGGATGAATGGCATTACTATCATGACTGGACCATAAATACATTATAGGCTTTGATATAGAACCTTGAGATGACTTGTGTTGGGAATTTGTCAGGCTCAGAACAAAAGGAACCAGTATTGAAAAAACAAAACGTTTATTTAAGATGGAACTGCAGAGAGCAGTGTCTAAAGCAAGAACCTCTGCAGAGGGCAAACACGGTTTAGTGACCATGTCTATCTGGCGGAGGTTGATAATAAACGTGTGAGTCACTAACCTGGTCTTAAAGTTCAGTCGAGCCCAGAGGATGAGGTTAGTTCTAGCTGACAACGTCAGTGGGCTGACAACATGTGAGTCCCAGGCGCTGGTCTCTTGGTGGTTGGAAGACAAGCAGGAGATCAGAACCGAGAGGACGAAGGAAGGCAAGATAATCCAGAGTGCCAAAGCCGGTGCAGAGGACATGCTCAGTAGTTACAGCCAGGAGATCAGAGGTCTGAAGATCTGCCGAAGGGAAATCCAGAACGAAATTGGGGAACTGTTCCAGGTACCATAAACAGGCAGGCAGAAATTCGGCAAGAGTCAGAGGACAGGTCAGGCAAACAAATCAGAGCGGGGACAGGCAGGCTCAGATGTCCACAGGCAGAACGGGTCAGGATCAGGCAGTCAAAACACTCATGTATGCAAAATAACTCTCATCAAAGGCTCAAATAATCTGGCACTGATGACTGGTATGAAGGCTTGTTAAATCGAGGCAGAAGCAGGTGCATCAGAGTGGTAATGAGAACTGGGCAGAGATAGGGAGGTGATGAATTGAGTAATCAGACCAATAATGAGCCCCCAGATCATGACATATTTAACTCAATATAAATAAAGGAACTCGAATTGGATCTCTGGCTGTATTTTTTTGGTGATTATCTTACTGCAATATGAGCTGCAACCAACAGTCTTTTTCAACCTCCAGATTTTCCTTCAGCATCTCGGTGTTGATCTCTTACCAGCTTCCCTTTTCTTGAAGAAAAAAACGCATCACCATTATAAAATGATTGCACCTTTTCTCAAGTTGCAATCAGGGTGATGTGCAGTATTGACATGGCTTTTGACTGGCTGGGAATGTTCCTTAAAGATTTCCTTTTAGAAAGAGGAAACCAAATAATTTAGGCCTTTAAGTAGGAAATCAGCACCATTACATCAATCTGCAACCACAGTAATTGACTTTAGATATTGTGTTCTTTTTCTGATATGCTTTTCGATTAAAAAGGAATCAGCAATTTTATAATTTCTTCTTCCTTTTCTCTTTGATGCATTTAGTAGACTAGTTACTCCTAGGAGGACTAAACAGTGTTTCTTGTTTTCTTTGTTGTGGATTATGGTTCACGCTGAGGTTTACTGTCAACCAATATCATTAGAAATAGCTCTTTAGCTTGTTCCAGATTGATAAGTTTAAATCCATTGACTTATAGATCCTCCAGAGATCATGCACTTTATGTAAAGTTGTTTCTTGAGTTTTTATTTGGGTACTGCACATAAATCATAAAATTTGTTTTTTCTCCTTAGTTTTTTGTGTTGGATGTAGTGGCAAACAACAAACAGCTCAATGAGACAGAGATCTTATCCCAGCTGGAGAAGATCATGAAAATGTCAGAAAATGCTGAAGAGAGGCATCCTCCTTTTGGGATCCTGACCTCAGACGGGAGGACCGAATGGGCACAAGCTAGAGAAGAACTAATAAAAGGTGACTGACCAATAAAACGTCATCACTTTGTTGATTTGTAAGAATCTCTCAGGCACACAAATACACCTCCTTCCTTCTAATATCCAGATCAAACTAACCGGGACTCTCTGGCTCTGATTGAGAGTTCTATATGTGTGGTGTGTCTGGATGAGCCCTGTGACCTTCCACCCAGCGACACCAACAGGGCTCTAATGATGCTACATGGTGGTGGCCGGGAGCGAAACGGTGCAAACCGATGGTATGACAAATCAATGCAGGTGAGAAAACACTACAGACACTAAACTCCAATTTTACTCTCTCAAACCAGGCAGCTTTTTCATCAGCCTTCTCTCAGTTTGTTATAGGCATGGATGGGGTCTGTGGGGTGGTGTGCGAGCATTCTCCATTTGAGGGAATAGTCATGGTGGAATGCTCAGAGTTTCTTATGAAACACATGTAAGTCAACACCCTGTAGCAACTGCCATCCTAATAATGACATCTGATACAGGCAGTGAATGAAACAATGGTATTTTTTGTTGTGAACAGAACAGGGAGTCCCTCCAGGATGGTTCAGCAGTCCAGCGCTAAAGCTCTCCCCCCTCCAAGAAGGCTGCTCTGGAAATGTAGCTCCAACATTCAAGCTTTCCTAAGAGCATCCGGAGAAAGACTCCAGAGGCAAGACAACACTTCGCCAACCCCTTTTCCACATGTTAAAAAATTCTCGGCCTTGCCAAAGTATATAAATAGATATATATACACACAGTGAGGAATATCATTATCTGAATGCCCTGCTATTTTGCAAGTTCTCCCACTTCGTCATGGATGGGTCTGAATTTGTCATCATAGGTGCATGTCCACTGTGAGAGAGATAATCAGAAAAAAATCTATACAAAAGTCACAATATGGTTTTTTTGTTATTTATTTGTTTGATACAGCTGAAATACGTATTTGAACACTTGTCTATCAGCTACTGTAGAATTCTGACCCTCAAAGACCTGTTAGTCTGCCTTCAAAATGTCCACCTTCTTTCCATTTATTATCCTAAATTAGATGCACCTGTTTGAGGTTGTTAGCTGCATAAAAACACCTATTCGCCCCATACAATCAGTAAGAATTCAACTACTAACATGGCCAAGAACATAGAGCTGTCCAAAGACACTAGAGACAAAATTGTACACCTCCACAAGACCGGAAAGGGCTCCAGGGAAATTGCCAAGCAGCTTGGTTAACAAAGGAAGAAGCTAAACGTGACTGTCAATCTTCCTTGGACTGGGTCTCAATGATCCTAAGAAAGGTGAGAAATAAGCCCAGAACTACATGGGAGGAGCTGGTCAATGACCTGAAAAGAGCGGGGACCACCATTTCCAAAGTTACTGTTGCTATATATATATATAATGTGTAACCACAGCAGATGCACATGCCTCATTGACATGACAATCCTGTATGAATTCACTACTGCCGATCATATTCCATTTGGGATGCAGATACATTTACAGTGGTTACCAATGACAGAAAAGTACTCTGAAAGCAACAAATTACACTTAGACTGGAGCTCACTGTCAAAGGAGGATCTGCTATCTTATTCGATGTGCACAGATAACTCACTCAGGAATATCTGCCTGGCCAGAGAAGCCATTTGTTCTGTGTATAATGAAATAGTTAATGTTTTGATTGCATCAACTAA